GTGGTGTGGTGAGGCCTGTAGTTCTTTGGGACATCAGTCAAAAGCCACTGCTGCTACTCAATGGGGGGTGGGGGAAGTAGATGGGAGGCACAGCTACTGGTACATGCTCGATCTTTGTGTCAGCCGGTTCCCCCCCACCGGTGGGCCCACCCTATTCCCTGACCACCGCCGATTAGGGCGGGATCGAGGGATGACACAAGGGCTTTCAAAAAAAAAAAAAAAAAAAAAAAAAAAAAAAAAAAAAAAAAAGACAGCTATGCTTCCAGGGGTCCCCTGTATCAGCTTAGGAGTAGTGGTGGGTAGATAGTCAAAGGTAAAATTTGGGCGGGAGATGGCAAATAACCGTCCCCCTCAGCCCCCTGGGAGTCACGGAGGCGGATGATGCGGCTATCCTCCTTGGTGCTTTGATGAAGGTGGATGGATCACAGCCAGAGGACCTCATGGCTTCAGAGATTATCTGGGCGGCGGTGCTGTGGGCGCTGTGGACTTCGAGGAATGAGCGATGCAGACAGGGAGCTTCACTGCCGCTGCGGAAATTTCATGAAAGGTCGATGTAGAACATCAAAAACGCCCTATCGGCGGAGACTGGTACCGAAGCACGTGAATGGGACAACAGAAGGAGAGAGGGTTTTGGGCATGATGGGAACCGAATCCGCAGTTGCTCACCCGGCACCCTCAGACGGGCCAAATGCAGTTGGGCCCAGCGATGAAGCGTCGCCGTCAAATGCCAGGGAGCGAGCAAGTGGGGGAGGCCGAGGATGAGTAGGAAGAGGGGGACAGATCATTGTGTGAGCGGCCGGTGTGTAACATATCTAGGCTTTCGGGGCTGAGTAGAATCGGCAGGAGGATAAGGTTGAGAAAAAAAAAAGATAGAGAGAGAAAGCTGGATGCATAGTATGAAGGTGGGCATGTGGAGTAGAAGGAACTGTAGGTTAAGGGGGTGGGTGGGGGAGGGGGAAAGGCAGAGGAGAACCTGATCAGAGGTTTTTTTTTTTTTTTTTTTTTTTTTTTTTTTTTTTAACCTGATCAGAGGGGTACGTTACTGTTGAATGCAAAAACATAGGAAGCCAAGGACAACAGGGCCTATTATTATTATTATTATTCCCTAATAGATGGGAATAGAAGACAACGGGAGGTATGGAGGAATGGAAACAGGACAACGCTGGGCCTATTATTATTATTATTATTATTATTGTTATTATTATTTGAGATGATGCTCCGATCTATTAGGGACGGCATTGTCTTTTCAGTAGGGCAACAATACGTTCGCAATGGCATTTAGGCAAAAGCCACACAGATGGTTGGATGGGGCTAAAAGAATGGTAATGCGGGTGTCACTGAAAAGTTTTTCATCGGGAAAGGGGTAGACAACTGTAAGCAGCCGTATGTAAGAGGGAGGTATGTGTGGGATCCCAGTATAGCCAGATACTTGGTACGAGTTCGCGGCCAGGAGGCTGCGCTTGTGTGGGTTCCATTTTCGTCGTTTCATTTCTTTCTATTCTCTGTAAGGTCGTGCAGTACGACTTCGCTAGGATGGGTTCGTTTGGGGTCTCCGACAGCAGAAAATAGGGTCCGGCTGGTCGCAGTCGTCCCTAAGACCAGTCGACCGGTCGTAGGGCAGGTTATCTTGTCAAGGTTGTTGCAAACTTGCAATTTTGTATAGGCCGCCGTCCATTGTTTCCCTTTTGAGGGATCTAGTTTTTCCCGTTGCAAACTGGGGTGGGCGATATCGGTCTGGATGGCGATTTGGGTCTGTTTGTTTTTTTTCCTCTTCTACTGCATCTTCCCAAAAATACAGCATCGAAGCATTCTGCTGTTTACTACGCCCAAAAATAAAAAATAAAACAATTAGCGAAATCTGGAACAGACTTCCCTGCCTTGTTGGCAGGGGTTACTAAGAAAAGAAAAGACAAAAAAAACGTATTGACTTTCGGAAAAAAAAAAGAAGAAAAAACGCACTTACCTTTGCCCCGAGAGCTGTGGAGATAGAGGGCCTTGCTCCACTACTGCGCAAATGTGCAACATGAGCATGAATCTTCTGGTAGAACACAGGTAGATACACTGCTAGCAGTTTAGAGCTTGAAGCCTTGAAAAAACTGCCCTTTTTTCCTGGCAGCGTGGGGGAGGTACAGCGCTCAGTAGGACCTTGCTATTCGTTTTTTAATTTTTTTTTCTTTCTTTTTTCCCCCCCCTGCAATAGAAGAATCTGGGCTCCGTCCAGCGTCCTAACTCAATTGGTTAGGCACACAAGTGACATTCAGGATCAGGAGGTTGTGGGTTCAATCCCCACGGCCACCTGTGGCACTCTTTGTGCCATCCAACTGAGATAGTGAGCTGGATCCTCCCAGTCGATATAAGGTCTTCAGCCAACACGGGTGTGAGTGCACGTGTGAGTGGGTTGCGTGTGCTGTGTGGGAGAGCAAGGCTGCCCATTGGGTGTGAGTGCGCGTGTGAGTGGGTTGCGTTTGGTGTGTGGGAGAGTGTTGGCTTCGGACACTACCATCCAGAAGGCTGCCCATTGGGTGTGAGTGCACGTGTGATCGGGTTGCGTGTGGTGTGTGGGAGAGTGTTGGCTTTGGACACTGCCATCCGGAAGGCTGCCCATCCCCTACTTCATAAGACCTTTGCCCAGCTTACTGTCTAGTAGAACATAAAGCATGCTAATCGAATGGCTGCGTCCCCGCGTTCAACGCGGTATAACAGTTGATGATTGGAAAAAAAACAGCTGACGATTGGCAAGAAGCCCCAGGCACTGCTCTGAACACACCCCCCCCCCCCCCCCCCCCCCCCCCCCCCCCTGCCAGTGTACCAACCCCCTCGGGGGATTGCCCTACTGTGTGTCTGGGTGC